GTGTGTGTGTGTGTGTGTGTGTGTGTGTGTGTGTGTGTGTGTGTGTGACAGACTCCTTTGTTGGTCTGTGGACACTAATCAACCTTTTCTCAAAATAATGTTTTTTTAATGCATGAAGTAAAATATGTACAGTTAAAAAGCAAATCAAAGTCAGTGAAAATAAAGATGTAATTTTGTTCTCATTCAAGCACATGGACCCCTGGAAATCTATACCCTTTGGAGGGGGCACATGGACCCCACATTAAGAACCCTTGATCCAACTTTCTCAATTTACATATGAAGAAATTGAAGTGCAGCTTTTCAGCTTCCTTTTCTGTATTGTCTTCCTATATTAGTTTGTAAGCTCTTTGAGGGCAGGAGCTGTCTTTCTTTTTCATATTTGTATTCCCAGTGCTTGGCACAGAGTAGGCAATTAATGTTTATTGATTATTAACACTTATTAGCTGCCAGGCCATTGACAAATCACTTTACCTTCCTAAGAAGCAGTTTACTAATCTAAAAATAGAGAGAAAGGGAAAAAAGGAACAGTGGGTAGCACAACAGCTTTGGTGGTTTGAACTACCACAGCAAAGCTGTTGTAAGAAAAGCACTTTATAAACCCTAAGTAATAAATGATGGACAACTAGGTGCCTCAATGGATAGAGTCCTGGGCCTGGAGTCAGGAAGACTTGTCTTCTTGGATTCAAATTTGTCCTTAGAAACTTACTAGCTGTGTGACCTTGAGCAAGTAACTTCACCTTGTTTGCCTTAGTTTTCTCATCTATAAAATGAACAAGAAAAGGAAATGGCAAACCACTCTAGTATCTTTGCCAAGAAAACCCAAAATAAGTTCACAAAGAGTTAGACATGATTGAACAACAAGTAATAAAAGATGTCCCCAAAGAGCTAGTGCAGTTTTTAAGCTATGAAAACTTTGGGGGACATATACATACATACATACATACATATACACACACACACACACACACACATATATATATATATACATGTGACTTCTTGATGTCATAATAAAGACTGACACATATAGAACTTTAAGACTTACTATTACACACATTATCTCATTTGAGACTCACAGCCAGCCTGTGGGATATAGTATAATATAGTATAATTATATAATACTATTATCCACCTTTTACATATTAGGAATTTGAGGTTTAAACTGAGTCTCAATTGTTATTTTAAAAATCTTAATAATAATCCCTTATACTAATGTAGTACTTTATAGTTTTCAAAACACTTTAATTAATCAATAAACAATAAGTACCTAGTATGCCCCATACACTGTGCTAAGTGCTAATTTAAGGCACACAAAACTTCCACGAGATTATTATTAGTCCCATTTTAAAGATGAGGGAACTGAGGCCCAAAGAGATACAATTTCTTACCCAGAGTTACACAGCAAATAACTGGCAGATCTGAGAATAGATAACCCTTTTCTCCTGACTTTCTACTATGCTACTCTATGTCCCAGATCAGTGGACAATACCTGGTCCTAAGACCAATTGGAGGAAGTCCCAGGAGTTGGGAGTCAGGGTTGGATATCAGTTTAATATAAGGAGAAACTCCTTTAAAATTAGAGTTGTCCATCGTTGGAAAGAGGCTGCCTAGAAAGGTAGTAATCTCCCCATTAGTGGAAGTGTTCAAACAGGGGCTAGATGACCACTTGTTGGGGGATGTTGTAGAAGAGCTTCACACTTCAGGTTCAGGTCGGATTAGATGATCTCTTAGACTTCTCAGAAGTTACCTGATGGGTAAGCAGAGGCAGAGATGCAAAACATCCCTCGCTCACTCTTTGTAAAGAAGACTTCAGGAACCAGTCTGGAGCTCTTATTTGTTCAACATTTCAAAGTTGTTTTTATTTTAATTCAGCTGGATCTAATACAATCCCCAAAACATCTGTGCCAAATGCTTTTTTTTTTCTCCTCAATTTTTAAACTCCTGTGAACATTGGAGGACATTTAATCTGCATGTTTGCCATTCATCTCCACTTGAAGATGACATCAGGAATGAGCTTTGTAAAGTTCCTAAAGTTTTTAAGCCCTATTCTTAGAAATAGGAAGGATGGTGAAGCCAAAAGCAAATACTTCAAAAACAGAGAGGTTTCCATTGGAAAAG